CGGTATAGAATGCGGTACGCTGTCCTCGGGCGTAGCTTCAAAAGCCTGGTTTATTCCCTGGCTGCGGCTTGCCCTGGCCGTGACTCTGGCCCTGGTTAGGCGTATTGTTACGTCTCCGCCTGTTATCCCTGCCTCGACAGCGGTATGGTTCGTGCCGGGGGCGAGGGTGGTATTGCCTTTGCGGTGGCTGGGGTTTAAAGGGCTTACGCTGCGTCACCGGGGTGTGCATACCCAATGACTTAAGGGTTGCTCGCGAGTCCTTAAGGCTATGTAGCCTGGCGTCCGTTTGGTCGGAAAACAAGCCCGAATCTTCAAACGGGAGGTCCTGCAGTGTGGTCTGCACCTCTGGCGGGAGACCTGAAGCCTGTAACCACGCCGAACGCCTCATCACGACTCCTGACGCAATTGTTCTAGCCGCAGCGTCGGCTGAGTCGAGGGAGGCCTGCAATGAGGTCTTGGCCACCGCCATTCCCTCGTCCACCAGGGCCGTGAACTCCTGATGCGCGTCAGATGGGAGGGAGTCCTTAAACTTGGCGACTGATGCCCAAGAGTTAAAATTGTGCCTGTTTAGAATCGCCTGCTGATTGGCGATCCTCAGTTGAAGGCCCCCGGATGAATAGACTTTCCTCCCGAACAAGTCCAATCGCTTAGCTTCCTTGCCCTTGGGGGCAGGAGCTTGCTGGCCGTGACGCTCTCTGTCGTTGACCGCCGAGACCACCAGCGAACAAGGGGACGGGTGTAAAAAGAGGAAGTCAAACCCTCTAGATGGGGCGAAGTATTTCCTCTCCACGCCTCTTGCAGTCGGTGCACTGGAGGCCGGCGTTTGCCACACCGTCTTATAGTTGGACTGTACTGTCCGTATAATTGGAAGGGCGACTCTGGAGGGGCCCTCCGGGCTCAGGATATCGACCATGGGGTCTTCCTGTTCTACGGTCTCCTCCGCTTGCAAGCCCAGATTGAGGGCTACCCGGCGAAGCAGGTCTTGGTGCGCCCGATGGTCAATCGGGGGAGGGCCGGACACCATCGTGCCCGCTACTGCCTCGTCTGGCGAGGAGGAAGAGGTCAGGGCTTTCTGCCCATCCTCATTGTCCTGCAACCCGGCATCGACCAGTTGCTCCTCTGGGGCCTGACCCGCAGTGTGGGACTGGGACGGTACCGTACTCGGTGCCGAGTCCACTCCTTCCCGCTCCGGTGGTCTAGAGACCGTTGCCTCCTTATGCGATGGCGGGCGGTGCCGCGGGATCGGTACCCCGATGGCCCGGATCTCGAGGCCCTCGATGGGGGCCCTTGCTGGTGGTAGGCCCAGGGTGTCCAGAATGGCCATTGGCTGGTTGGCCCCACTGGGAATGGGCGTAGTCCCCGCTGGCCTGCGACCTATG